CTCTATGTATCTCTTCTTGACTCAGTCATTGTTTAGCAGCATGTTGTTTAATCTCCACATATATGTGGTTTTCTGCTTTCTTTTTGTAGTTGATCTCCAGTTTCAAAGGACTGTGGTTGGAGAATATGCTTGATATTGTTTCAGTCTTTTAAAATGTAGGCTAGTTTTGTGCCCCAACATATGGTCTATCCTTGAGAATGTTCCATGTATACTAGAGAAGAATGCATATTTTGGTGTTCTGGGATGAAAAACTCTGTAAAGATCTATTATGTCCATTTGGTGAAATGTGTCATTTAAGGCTTATATTTCTTTATTTTCTGTTTGGATGATCTATCCATTACCCTAAATGTGATATTTAGGTCCCCTACTATAATCGTGTTTTTGTCAGTTTCTCTCTTTAGTTTATTAGTAGTTGCTTTGTATATTTTGGTGCTCCCTAATTGGGATATATGAGGTGTGATCAAACAATACAGTGAATGTTTAAATTAAAAAAAAAATTATTATTGTAAAAGGCACATTGCCATTCATCCCCCTCAAAATATTTCCCCTCACTTTGAACACACTTATCCCTTTGTTCTTGCCACTTTCTGAAGCAGCTCTGGAAGTCCTGTTTTGTGTCTTTAGTTACACTGTTGTGGCTGCCTTGATGTCCTGAATCATTTGACTTTAGAGAAGAGCCAGAAGTCACAAGGTGCCAGATCTGATGAATAAGGTGGATGAGGACACACTGTAATGTTTTTATTTGACAGAAATTGCCGTACCAGAAGTGAAGTGTTACAAGGAGTGTTGTCATGGAGAATGATTTTATGGCACACTTTAAAACACACCTTCTCTGAACCGTAGTTCACACCCAACTGACTGCACCGAACAAGTTTAAACTTGTCACACACTGTTACTAAGGTTCGATGTGACTCGTCCATGTTGAAGATCTCTGCCTTTCTGTTGAATGGCTCTTGGTAGCAGTATTCACTGCATTGTTTGATCACAACAGAAAGGCTCCGTGTCACTCATTGCATCTGGTATGGCAATTTCTGTCAAATAAAAACATTACGGTGTGTCCTCATCCATCTTATTCACCAGATCTGGCACCGTGCGACTTCTGCGACTCTTCCCCTAAGTCAAAATGACCATGAAAGGTAAACATTTTGAATCGATTCAGAACATCGAGGCAGCCATGACAGTGCAACTAAAGACACTCACGAAAGAGGACTTCCAGAACTGCTTCAGAAAGTGGCAAGAACAATGGGATAAGTGTGTTCGAAGGGGGGCCTGGGTGGTGGTGGGATATTTTGAGGGGAATTAGTAGCAATGTGTCTTTTACTGTAATAATTTTTTTTAACTTAAACATTTTACCGTATTTCTTGATCACATCTCGTATATTGATAAGTGTTAAGTCTTCTTGAAGTATTGCCCTCTATCATTATAAAATGTTTATCTTTGTTACCTTTTTTTATCTTAAAATCTGTTTTGTCTGATATAAGTATGGCTACATCCACTTTTCTCTGGATGACATTTGCTTGGAGTGTAATTTTTCAACCCTTCACTTTGAGTCTATAGTTTTCTTTGCAGCTGAGATGCGCCTCCTGAAGGCAGCATATAGTTGAGTTGTGTTTTTTCATTCACATAACTACTCTGTGTCTTTCAATTAGTGAATTCAGTCCATTTACATTTAGGATAATTATTGATAGATGAGGATTGCCTATAGCCATTTTATCTTTTGTTTTCTGATACCTCTGTGTCTCTTTTGTTTTTTTTTCTCCCCCCTCATGTTTTTGTCTATTTTAGTTTGGTGGTATTCTATGATTTTTTTTTCCATTTCCTTATTTTTTATGTTATGTGTCTCAGTTCTATATTTTTTTGTGTGGTTGCCATTAGGTATATATAAAAGAAAATTTTATATGTTCAGTAATCCTTTTTCTTCTGACTGCATCTTCATTCATCCGTGCAAGTTCTGTCGTTTACCCTCTCCCCTTTTATGTTCTTTTTGGGAGGTGGGTCATAAATTAACCCTTTTTGTGCTGTGTTCATTTTCACATTGCAGTAGCTGTTGTCTTCTTTTTTTATTTAATGCTTTTTCCTGCTCTAATCTTTATGTTATATTTAAGAGTTTAATACCCTATTCTGAACAAGAGTTGCAGTTTCCTGCTTCTGTCTCTCTATGAATAATCTTATGGTTTTGTGTCCCTTTGTCTTTTTGTTTCAGGTAGAAGAGCATTTTTCAGCATTTTTTTGTAATGTAGGTGTTGTGATAAAGTCCCTCAACTTCTGTATGTCTGGAAAAGCGTATATTTCTCCTTCATATCGAAAGGATAACTTGGCTGGTGATTCTTCTCTTTCAGTACATTGAATATTTGATTCCACTCTCCCCTAGCTTATAGGGTTTCTTCTAAAAAATTCAATGATAATCCAATAGTGTTTCCTTTATAAATTACCATCTTCTTCCTCTGACCACCTTGAGAATTCTTTCATAGTCATTAATTTCAGACAGCTTTTTTTTTTTTTTAAGTTTATTGTGGAATTGGAAGAGGGAACAGCGTTGGGGAATCAGGGAAGGGGAACAGACAAGTTGTTGTCCTTTTGTTCTTCAGTCTAGTTGTGGAGGACGTCGCTTCACTGGCTCATGTTGGTATTATGATCATTGCGCTCTTCCTGGCTGAGGCAGATGGGTCGCCAGCCATTGGACAGCGGCTCACAGCAGCTCACGCCGGCTGCCGGCCACTCATGGTAGTTTATAGCAGCCCACTGCAGCCTACGCCATCGCTGGTGACTCACAGCAGCCCAGCTCCAGGTCAAGCTGTTGTTCACCATCTTAGCTGTAGAAGGCACAGCGTCACTGGCCCATGTGGAAACCGAACCGACAGCCCTGCCGCTCAGAGCTCGGCCTCCCAAGCAAACTCTTAACCAATGTGCCACTCGACCAGCCCCAGACAGCTTTAATATAACATGCCTTGGATAAGACCTTTTTGGATTGAGATAATTAAGTGTTCCGTTAGCATCTTGGATTTGAGGATCTAGTTCTTTCTATAGGTTTGGGAAGTTTTTGATTATTTGTTTGAATAGGCATTCTGTTCCCTTCTCCCTCTCTTCTTTTATTATATTCAGTATTTTATATTGCTCTTTCTGATGGAGTCAGAAAGTTCTTGTAGCGTTCTTTCATTTCTTTTACCTCTCAAGTCTCTCTCCCATCTGAGTCATTTCTGGATTTCTACCTTCAATATCACTAATCTTCCATCTGGTCTGCTATATTCCCTAGGCTTGCTAGTTCATTCTTCATCTCACTTATTGAATTTTTCAGCTCCAGAATTTCTTTTTTTTTTTTTTATAGTTTCAATTTTTTTGGTAAAGTATTCTCTTCTGTTCATTGATTTTGTTTCTGAATTCATTAATCTGCTTTTATGGTCTTCTATCTTATTGAGTTTTTTCAGACCTGTAATCTTGAGTTCTCTGTCATTTAAATCACATATTTCCTTGTCTTTAAGTTTGTTTTCTGGAGATGGTTTATTTTCTTTCTCTCTATGGAAGTGGGTGTCCTCTCTGTGACAAGGTCATCTTGACCTGAAGGCACTGCCCCATGGGAGAATGTGGTGAGTGATGGGGCTCTGGACCTGTGCCATCCTCATACTGCTTCCTGCAACTAGGTACTGCCAGCAGTGTTGTACTATCTGAAGGGTCCCAGGTCCCTTCACTGGGCTCCTCTGCAGTAGGTAGGGGCTGGGTGTGTGGGGAGGCCAGTTAGTGTGTTTGTGGCCTTGATCTTCTCCCAGTAATGGCAGCTCCCAGACCTCAACTGCCACACCTCTCTTATCTCCATCCCTGGCAGTGGGTTGAGTCACAGTGTGTACCTGCAGCTCAGGGAGAAATGTTTTTGCCCATTCAGTCCTTAGGGCTGCCGAGAGTGTGTGCTGTTACCCAACACCTCCACTGCCACAACATCTGCTGGAGCTGCTGTGAGCTCTTGGAGGGTGAGGGGCGTTGGCTGTGTGCATCTGTGGCCTTGTTTTCTGGTGATTGCTATTGCTAGACCACAGCTGCCACCCCTTTGTGTTCCATATCTGCCCATTGCTGGGCTTAGCCACAGTGTGTGCTGACCACCCAGGCAGGAATGTTGCCTCTATCCCTCCTGGCTGTGTCTTTGACACTAGTCTCTGTCCTTCCCCATTCCCGCCTGCCCTGTTTCTTCCAATTTGCCCACCTTCAGATGTTTCAATACAAGGATCTCCCAGATGTGTTTGTGTGTTGAGAAGGAAATCCTTTGTTGAGTTATAGCTGTCCAACTTGTAACTTGAAGGGGAGAAACCTGGAGGTCCCCTTACACTGCCATGCTGCTTACGTCATTCCTATCTGTCTTTGTATTTCAAGTCTAGTTTTAAACATGTCAAAAAAAGTCAAAGGTTGTAATTGTCTCATTAAATTGTCTCATTAAAAACTCATCAAAATACCCTCAGACTGTAACAAAACAGAAGTTTTACATTAAGGAATAATCAATGTTCATGTATAAAAAGAAAAATTACACCATCTATCAACTATACTTCATACAGGAATTTGAATGACACTGTGATAAATCAGGGGAAGCCAACATCTTACGTGTTTATCATCTTGTTTTGCCCAGGATAGATTGAAACGAAAGTGAATTCCTTTTTCTTGGAGGCTTAGTATTTGAAGATGAGGCACTAGGGCACATTAAATGGCTGCCACGTAGATTCATAGTAGACCTGAGTTCTGGCCCCAGCTTTTCTACTAATTTAAACTCAATGTTTGTCCGCAGTTTTCCTATTAAAGTGAGGTTGAGCTATTGGTTGTCGGAAAAGTCATGACGTATTTTTTCTGTTTTTCGTTGCAAAAATGCGTCATGACTTCTGACAACCCAATAGATGGTATATGACCTCATGCAGCATGAGTATTCTAAGAAAATTCAAATGTAAACGTCACTTCTGTCAGTAATTATTTGTTCATTATTTTGCCCCTTATTAAAATTTGTTTGTTTGTTTTTTGTTTTAAAGAACAACATAGACGTTTGTCCTGAATGTGGTCACCTGAAACAGAAACATGTCCTTTGTGGCTACTGCTATGAGAAGGTGTGCAAGGAGACTGCAGAAATCAGAAGACAGATAGGGAAAACAGAAGGGGGCCCTTTTAAGGCTCCTTCTGTAGAGACCGTGGTGCTGTACGCGGGAGAGACACCATCTGAACAGGATCAGGGCAAGAGGATCATTGAACAAGCCAGGAAGCGGCCATCCTGGTTCACCCAGAATTGACACCAGAGATGTTTAAAGGGGATAACTTAACATAAAACATTTCTCCTGAAAAAGGATTCTTTGTTTTTAATGTTTTGTGCTTGTTTTATTTTCATTTTTTTTAAAGATTTTATTGGGGAATTGGGGGAGGGGAACAGTGTTGGGGAATCAGAGAAGGGGAACAGACAGACAAGTTGCTGTCCTTTTTGTTCTTCAGTCTAGTTGTGGAGGATGTCGCTTCACATGTTGGTGTTATCACTGTACTCTTCCTGGGTGAGGCAGTCGCTTGCCATTGGACAGCTAGCTGTTCATGGCGCCTCACGGCAGCTGCCAGCGAGCCCCACTGCAGCCTACACCATTGCCAGCGACTCACAGCAGCCCAGCTCCAGGTCAAGCTGTTGTTCACCATCTTAGCTGTAGAGGGTGCAGCGTCACTGGCCCGCATGTGGGATCCAAACCAGAGCTCTGCTGCTCAGAGCTGGTGTCCCAAACCAATACTTAACCAATGTGCCACTTGGCCGGCCCTGTGCTTGTTTTAAAATCATCAATATAGCTTAAAACATTCTTCATGAGCAGTTAGTTTTGTGTGGATAATTTGAAGAATATATCAGGAGTAAAGTCTGAAAATATTTGTTTATGCAAAGGCACAGTGGATTTATATGTCTGTTTCTATTATAAGGTTTTAAGTAAACATTAAATTTTCAGGACAGAACAATAAAACTAATTTAAAATTCATACCAAGAGGTATGTGTTTGGCTCTGGTTTTGTTTGTTTGCTAGTGGTTTTCCTTACATAAGACTACTTACATGAGTAGTTTTAAGTAACACCTGGAAATAGGTTATTATTTGAATTCTGGGTATTGTTTTGTAAGATGGTAGTTGTGGCAGTAAGAAAAAGTTTGTACTGGTTTTTTGTTTTGTGTTAGCCAACTAATGTTGCAGTTGGTGGAATTTATATGGGACATACGTTAATTTACTTAGAAATAGTTCTTGATATTTTACATTAAATCAAAATGACATTCAGAATTTATTAAATGGCTTAAATGAGATTTGCAATTTATTGTTTTGGGAGAGAGCCTTTTAAAAGGAGACGTAAGTGAATTCACAGAAAGTGTGTTAAGGAGATGGCCTTTGCATTTTCCTTTGAGTATGTCCTTTTAGTTTATTTTACATTTTATCTTTATCTCTTTATAGTAATGGGCTTTTTAACTTAAAACAAGTCATTTCATATTTCTCCTTCCCCCATTCCTATATCTGCCTTGAGCCAAAGGTTTGCTATTGTGTTTCCTGCCTCATTCAAAAATAAATAAAAGTGAGATAGCTTATTAAAATACAGAGATATGTAAGTAAAGGAATTATGGTTAAATGGAAAATCAGTAGACAAAATGAGATAAAATCCAGGGATATATTTAAAACAATGTATGCCACAATAGCCTGAATACTTATTAGAATTAGGCAGCAAATTCAACACTGAACTTGCTTTCCTTGGAAAGAACTTACATGGATAAGTCTCTAGAAGGTAAGACACATAACCCGGAAGTGCACCACTATCTTGGTACCAAAGCCTGAGGGACATTTCTCCCAGGGGACTTCGTAATGAGGATTTTGTGATGCAGTAATCCATGTTATTCCTAAAAGTAGGAGGACCAGTTTCATGAGGTACAATAGACAAATAGTACATTGAAATGCAATTCATTAAAAACAAATCCTAAAAGCTTCCAAAGTATTGGAATCCCAGTAAATAGCTCTCTCAAGTCTTGATTTGACCTAAGCATAGAACTGAGTTTCTGGAGGAATTGATTATCCGAATATTCTTAATAAGGCAACTGTACAGATAATTATTTCTTAGTATCTGACAATCTTTAAAAAGGCCGTTTCATTCTTAAGGTAGGTATACTTAAGGCAGCATCAATGATTCAAGAAAGCTAAGGCTAACCAGGTCCATACCTGAATCTATTCCACTGCCTACGAAGCATCTCAGTTGTTGGTCTAACCAGGAAGCAGAGGACTGTATGCAGATAGACCTAGTGAGAAGACGCAGGCAGGGTCACTTTTCTGTTTGATATTCATGTGCAGATAAGCGTTATGAAATGCATCCCCAAATTAGATAGCAAAACCAGATGTTTAGTTTATGTCAGAAAACCACATCATAAAGGAGAGTGCCTAGCAGTTTTTGAAGAGGTTGTCTCCTCAGTTACACATTTTATCACTGTACTTCCAGTTTTTATTAGAAAGCATCGAGTGAAATCATTTATGCAGCTGATTCATACACGTTCTAAACATTAGAAATGAATTCCCCCATCCTTCCTTAACCTCTAAAACAAGATGTTGACATTTACTAGGCACTTTTGGAGGGAGGGATTCAAGTTATGTTGTATTTGGGAGAGGTGGGTGAGGAAGTACTTGTCAGCTCTGAACTTGATAGCACTTACCTCCATCTTCCTGTCTTGAACAAGTTATTGGCAGATCACCAAGTGAAAATCTAGTGTCTGACTATTCCATCTTCCTGCTAGTGTCCTCATTTTAACCCTAATCATCTCTGCGCTGTTACAGTGTACTTTCCAATATTAGTTTCCAGACTTCTCTTATTTCTAATTAATTTTCTTTAATAGTTTTTATATTACCAAAGTAATACATCATTGTAGTTAATTAAGCAATGTAAAGTATATAAACAGAAAGTTAATCATTTCCTTACTACTACACCCCATGGTATGTATGCTTCTAAATGCCACACTACCCCACCATTTTCTGATCACATCACTCCTGATCAAAAATGGCTCCTATTAAACCCTCTCGTGTCCCCATGATCTGTCCAAGTCTTCACCCACCTTCTACCACAGTGTAGTAAGTACACACCCCACCCCTCAGACTGTTAAAATCATTACCAAATGCAGCAGAGATTGTTGCACACTTCAGCATGCATTACTCCTTCCACTGGCTTCGCTTTTTTCCCCCTACCTTACAGAGTTTGCCTCTCAGACTCCCTTCTCCCAGCCTTTTAACTTTGGAGTGTCCAAGACTCCATCCTTGGTGATCTCATCCAGTCTTATGGCTTTAAATAACTATTGGTTTGTCAGAAAAGTCATGACGCATTTTTGCAACAAAAAACAGAAAAAATACGTCATGACTTTTCCGACAACCCAGTACATGTTGAGGCCTTCCAATTTGGTATTTCTAGCATGGGCCTGTCCCCTGAACTCCAGGCTCGTATTCAACTGTCTACTTGGCATTCTCCAGTTGAATTTCTAACAGACAACTTAATATCTCCAACTCAGAATCTCTTCTTTCCCAGTCCTACTATTCCCCATTCCCCAGTCTTCTCCATTTCAGTTGATGGCAACTCCATTCTCATTGCTTAGTGCCCAAACCTATCTTGAGCAAATCCACAAATCCCATTGGTTCTACATTTAAAATATACTTAGAGGGGACTGGCCCAGTGGCTCAGTTGGTTAAGAACGCAAGCTCTGAGCAACAGGGTTGCCAGTTTGATTTCCACATGGGCCAGTGAGCTGCACCCAAGCTGAGCTGCCAACAGGTGGCAGGATGACTCAGCTGGTGAGAGCACTTGCTCTTAACAACAAGGTTGCCAGTTAGACTCCCGCATGGGATGGTGGGCTACGCCCACCCACAACTAAGACTGAACACAGCACATTGAGCTGAGCGGCCGCGAGCTGCCGAAGGGTCACTGGATGGTGACTGGACTTGGAGCTGAGCTAACTGCGCCCTCCACAACTAAGGTTGAAGGACAACAACTTGGCTGTTTCCCTTTCCCAATTCCTCAACACTGTTCCCCTTCCTCAACTCCTCAATAAAATCTTAAAAAAAATAAAATATACTTAGAATCTCACCACTCATCACCACCTGCAAATCTACCACCCGATGGGAACCCCCACCCCGTCATCTTGTCTAGAATACCAAAATACTCCACTACTGTTCTCCCTGCTGCCGCCTTAGTTTCCTATAATCTATTTCCAGCACAGTAGCCAGAATCCTTCCCAAATAGTCATAATGCCTCTCCTCCCTTCAAATTCCTATATTCAAAACCCTATCTAAGGTGAAACATGCAGATACATATGTGAGGATTTTTACTTTATACAATATATATTCCTTGTGAATAAACTGAATTTTGATAAATCAAAAATATTTTAGGTTTTCTATTGGTGGTCCCATTTTTAAAAATTGTGATAAATCTTTTAAAAATATGAAAATTTTTTTCATAATTTGTATGGTGTGATTTTTAAATTCAAGATTTCTTCTTTAAATACAAAGATTAGAGGCCTTTCCTACATTCCTGGAAAGGGAATCACTTTAACTGTCACCTCAAAACTAGTTCCTATTCCGGCTCCCACTCTCCCATATGCAGTTGTTAGGTTTCAGAAGCAGGATTAGTCCCTCAATATTTCTAAATCTGTACTAAGGAACTCTCTGTGTATGATTAGTTTTTCTTTTGCTGGCTCACACACAAAAATAGATGCTCTCTGTTTAGCTGCAACCCGCGAGGAGCAGCATCATCCTGTGGCCTATATTGGTGTGTAACATTTTTCTTTTAAGTTGGGGAATTGGGGGAGGGGAACAGTGTTGGGGAATTGGGAAGGGGGGCCAGCCAAGATGTTGTTCTTCAATTTTAGTTGTGGAGGGCGCCACTCACCATCTAGCTGTCCGTTGGCACCTTGTGGCCTCTAAGCTCAAGGTGCCAAGTTCAGTCTTAGTTGCTGGTGGGCATAGCCACCATCCCATGCGGGAGGTGAATTGGCAGCCTTGTTGTTAAGAGCGCATGCTATATCCAGTGAACCATCTGGGTGGCAGCTCAGCTCAAAGTGCCAAGTTCAGTCTTAGTTGCGGGCGGGCATAGCCCACCATCAAACAGGCATTCTTGTTGTTATAGGAACATGTGCTCTCACCAGCTGAGCCATCCTGCCACCTGTTGTAAGCTCAGCTCAGGCACAGCATCACTGGCCCTCATGGTAATCGAACCGGCGACCCTGTTGCTCAGAGCACGCAGTCTTAAGCTAACTTTTAACCAATTGAGCCACTCCACTGGCCTGGTGTGTAACATTTGAATTGGTGCCTCTGTCACTGAATCATCCGGTGTCTCTTCCAGCTGCGAACTTCACTCCTTTGTACAGCAGAGGGCAACCGAGAGCCAG